ACCAGACAGACACGTGGAGGCGCCAAATAACGGAGCAGGCACCTGTGACAGTGAGAACGCAAAGGGACAGAAGTGTATGAATAAAAGGCTCAACGTCTCCAGAAATCAGGAAGATCCTAGTAAAACTCCACTGAGGTTCGCCCTCGCTGCAGACAGAAAGGCCAATGTGAGGAGCGCAATGGTCATCCAAGCTGGGAGGAGGGTAAAGTGCACTTGACAGTGTTGTGGGGTGAATCAGTACGACCACTCTGTAAAGTCTGTGGAGACGCCCCCAGACTAGAATGGACCCTGTGTGACCATGTCACGGGATGGAGCAGCCCAGGTGCCTGTCCACAGCTGAATGGACAAAGAAGATGCGGCTTCATATACAGGAGCTCCCCTCAGCCGTAAGGAAGGGGAAATTCTGTCGTTGGCTGGGGAACGGGTGGGAGGGGAGAATCATGTGAATGAACCAGCCTGACTCAGAAAATCAAATCAAAACCTGGTCTCTCCTCCGTGGGAGCTAGAGTTAAAAAGGGGGAGAAGGGAGACTCATAAACACAGAAGGGGGACCAGTTGCCCTGAGGGAGGGCCCTGGTGGAGGGCAGGAGGGACAAGAGAGGGAGGAGGGGGAAGGAATGGACCACATCATGCAGGTCCTCACGACCTGACCAAGGGGGTCTCACCTTGTGCAGATCCATGAAGAGTGACTCACAGAGCTCTGAAGGAACAGGAGGGGAGCAGGGAGCAGCAGGGGGATGGGGGGAGAGGGAGCCCTGGGCCTGAAGGGCAGCGCGTTACCGTCCACCACCACCGTCCACCCCTAGGGCCCCGTCAGAGGGAGCTCCAGCAGATGGCCCAGCGAGGATACACCCCACGACACAGAGTGAGCAAGGCCGACCTCACCTGCAGGGCATCAGGAGCATCCTAGGAAGTAACAGCAGAGGATGTCCACACCCAGGTCAGACCCTTTTCCTCCTTGTCAACCATCTTAGAAGATGGGAAGGAACCAAGAACCGACTCGTGAATCACTAAAGCAGACACTCTGTTCAGAGTGGCCGTGGAGGGACACACTGTAGGAGTAAGACGACAAAGAAGGCTGGAGTGTCCACGTTTGAGGATGAGGCAATGCTAACAAGGAGTCGTCGGGGCTGGACCTTAGGTTCTGTGTAGAAAGAGATCGCAGCTGTTCACAGATGAAAAGAGAAAGGAAGGAGGTGGGTGAAGCAGAGGCCCTCCAAATCACAAGGGAAGACGGGAGGGTGGGCGAGAGGAGCCCAGGGAGACAAAGGAACCGAGAAACATGACCAGAGGGCAGAGCCGGCCTCAGCACCCACTGTGGTGACCTGGAGTTCATGGACGGGACTCTCTGCATTCACAGGACGCTTCACCCAGCAGAGTGCACGGTCCTCTCAACTGCGCATGGCTGGTCTCCAGGAAGAGCATGTGGGGCCCAAGGACAGCCTAAGAGATGGAGCAGACAGAGGTCCCAGCACCAGCTGCTGCACACAGTGGGACAACATGCGACCTCAGGTCAGGAGGAACTTGACGTTTCACAAATACAGGAACCAAACAGCAGGCTCTGAATACCCAGCAGTCAAGGAGGAATTGAAAAAGGGAAATCCACGTCCTTCGAGAGAAACCCCAAATGGAAGCCCAGCCTACGCAGCTCGTCTTGCATCTCAGAGGCGCTCACAGGAGCAGCACCACGGCCAGCCCTTGGACCCGCCTTCGGCCACCCACCTCAGGAACCAGGAAACAGGAGCAACCAAAGCCACAATTAGTAATGGGAGGACACGGAAATCAGGGAGAGGCAGATGAGTCGGACAAGGACCACCTGCACACAGGGAGGGTCAGGGCTTAGGGCCACACACTGGGCCCACCCTAGTAAGCTACGCAGGGAAACAGCGGACACTCAGCCCGTGCCAATGAGCGGTGGAAAGGGGACCAGGAGGACCCCAGGATGCCAAGCCGAGACGTGCACCTGCAGGACAGCTCTCTCCCACACACGTGCACCTGCCCAGGCTCAGTCAGGACCAATATGGGAGACGGGCCGTCCTTGCTGAGGGCACTGAGTAGCCACGTGGACGTCCCCTTCAGATCACAGGACGGTCGGGATGGCTTCCTGCCACCTCCAGACATTTAGAGAGCAGTAGAGTGGCGTCTCAGCTGTTCCAGAAGACAGGAGGGCAAACACCTCAGGGGCATTCCACGAGGCCAGCGTCACCCTGCTGCAGAGGCCACACAGTAAAAGGAGAATTAGAGACGCGTATCCTGGGGAAAAGAAGCAACAGGTACAGGAAGGGCAAGGGGCTGGGCACGGGGCATCGTCCACTAGAGGGAAACGCCATCAGAGGCTCCTGAGGAGCCCCCCGCCCAGCCGACTGGCCGAGTCACGGGCTTGAAGCAGCCAGCGCTGGCGGGAGGTGCAGGGGAGGAGCTGGGTGGGGTGGACAGGGCACCCAGGTGGGCAGCAGTGCAGGGCCTCCCCCTGCAGATAGAGCTGTGCCACCCGCAGTGCATCCTGGGAAGACACAGAGGACAGGACGTCGGGACGTCAAAGGACACCTGGGCTCCCAGGCTCAGGGCAGCAGTGCTCGGGGCAGCTCAGATGGACAGACAGACAGGAGCACACACTCACACACACACTCACACTCACTCTCACACACTAACACACACACACACTCTCACACACTCATACACACTCACATTCACACACACACACTCATACACACACTCTCACAACTCACAATTACACACTCACACCCACACTCACACACTTCTCACACTCACACACTCATACACAATCACACTCACACACTTCTCACACACACTCACACACACTCACATACTCATACACACTCACACACTTCTTACACACACACTCACACTCACACTTTCACACACACACTCACACACACTCACACTCACACACAGGAGTCCTGGGCAGCCCTAAAACCACACGGGAGCTGGCCCTTCTCAGTAACGTGCTTGGTGAGAGGAACCAGGTCCTGAGGACCAACCCCAGTGTCTCACTCCCGTGTGGCATCTGAACTTGAGCCCCCAGGACAGGTGACGAGGAAGAACAGCCATTAGCCCATCGGGAGGGAGTTCGGAGGGAGGACCGTGGTCAGCGGGCACCACTCTACTGTGGAGCTGAGACAATACAGTGGAGCCCTCCAAACAGCAGGAAGAGATGACCTGGATGTCCTACCAGGAGGAAGTGACCACTGCTCACTGCTCACGGCTGGAGGGGAGGAATATGCTCCTGGCCTTAACGGGGTCCTTGTGGAATGTGTGTCAGAACATCCTATTGGACCAGACGTGGTGGCAGGTGCCTGTCATCCCAGCCACCTGTGAGGCTGAGGCAGGAGGATGTCTGGGGTGGAGTCCAGGTCCACCTGGGCCACATGCTGAGCTTCTGTCATGTGACACTAAACACAGTGGAACCTCATCACAGAGACCTCAAAACTAGGTTCCTTCTGTGTTGATTAAATAGGAAAAGCAATGAAAACTTACTCTGCATAATAGATGCCAAATTCAACCCCCTCCCAGCAAAAATAAGTGTAGAATTACTTAATCCACAAATCACCTGAGACACTCAGCTGCACCTCAGTCAGGGGGCTGTGCTGAGACGTTCAGGGGGCGGCCATGGGCAGCACAGGGGTGAGGAGCACAGGCAGAGTGGACAGTGAGCCCAGGGTCCCCCGGGAGCAGGTGCAGGACCTTCCCCCGTCCCAGGTGGGCAGTGAGGTGGGCCACAGGTGAGCTCAGCAGGGCCCTGCCCAAGGCCACCCCAGCCTGGGTCTGCTGGCCATAGGAGTGGGTGCTGGGGTGGACACCCTCAGGTTTTGACTCTGAGATGGAGACTCACTCAGGAGGGGAGGGGGGTCTCTCTCCTATCCCCAGTCTCCATCCTGCCCCCTCTGAGGGCCACCAGTCTCCTTACATCCCTCCTGCTCCTAGTTCCGCCTGACCTTGAGCAGTGGACGTGCCACAGTGGGAGGTGCCCACGCTCTACCTCCTCTGGGGGCAGGACCCTCCCTGGGAGCCTCCACTCCTCCTCATGTTCCTGTCACCTTGGATACTGTGGGACCAGGCTGCACTGAGAGGGAGGGTGTGCCAGGGAGCTGTCCTAGAGTGAGGAAGGAGGGTGAGGGTGGCCCCAGCTTGTTCTGAGCTGAGACCTCCCCAGGGCCTCTCTCTGAGGACCCTGTGCTCTCTGTCTGTCTCATTGTCTCTGATTCTTCCTGTCCCTGTGTCCCCTGTCTCTGTTCTCTCTGCCCCTCCCTGTCTCTCTCCCTCCTGAGACCCCACATCACCCTGGCCATCACCTCCTGGGGCTCCCCAACAGGGCTGTGCAGAGTCTTGTCCCTGACTGCACCCTCTGGGCTCCTCACCTGAGACCAGGATGTCCAGGGGGTCACTGGGGGCTGACCACTCAGAGGAGAGGCCTTGTCCACCATAGAATCTGTACTGACCACCAGGGGATATTGCTGAGAGGCCCAGCCTGAAGGGGGCCTGATAGAGCCGCGCCTTGAGCTGTTGGGAACAGCATTCGGGGGTCCTGTGTCCCCTCCTGGGACAGAGTGAATCTGCCGTAGCCGACTTCTGAGAGACACTAGAGCCTGTGCTGTTGTCCTTAAATTCTCCACACGCAGGCCTGGTAATTGTGCTGTCCCCAGAGCTGCCGTCTCTACAGGTGGGTGACAGTCCCTGGCCTGGTCAATAGAGCTCTCTCTGATTGGAGCTTGGACTAGAGTGTTTTGGGAAGCGGCTCCTCATAAGAGACCCCTCCCTGCCTCCTGGCTCCAGTCTCCTTCCAGGGGACGCTCTTCCACCTGTGTCCTGCCTTCCACCTGAGGGACGATGATGGGGTCCACATCTGATTCTGGGGGAAAGCTGGCTTTATTTAAATGTCCCTCTATTGTCCCCTGCCTGTGTGACCTTGAGCAGGACCTTGTTTCCCGACAGCTCACGTGTGGAGACACAGCTCTGCGAGTGCTGAGCGCCTCCTGGGTGCATAGGACCCTCCCTCCCTGAAGGACGGGCCAGCGACCCTTGCTCCAGGGGTCTCCCCTCAGACCCACGTGCAGGGCTGTCCCAGATCCCAGCCAGGGCCGCAAGGCTGACCCCGCCCTGGGAGGCTCCCAGGAGGGAAGGAAGAAGAGACCCTGGAGGCCTTGTCTGTGCAGATGCCTCAAGACTCGGTCAGAAGGACCGGAGAACTGGCCAACAACTCAGAGAAGGGAGGTGCGGAGTCGACGCAGCGCACACACATCCTTCCCTGTCTGCGTTGCTGGGAGCCCGCCCTGGCTCAGGTGCGCTTGGCGGACCCCCTGCAGAGCCACAGCCCCATCCTGAGCAGGGAGACTGCTACACACCAACAGGAAGCTGTCCAAAGGGACATCAAGGGGACCACTCCATGCACAGTGGTGTCAGAAAGGAAAATGCGAGGACATGTAACACAGGACGTAAAACAGGTGTCCACTGAGAGCCTCAGAGTAACGAGGACATGTAACACAGACGTCCAGAGGTGCCCAGGCCCAGGGACTGCAGGAAATGAGGGGGAAAGGCCACAGTTCCCAAAGCCATGGACAGAACGTGCTGACCCCCGGGAATGCCAAGATTTTTTTTCCCACAGAAATAGAAAAACTATTTAAAATTCTCCTGGAGTCACAAGAATAGCCTGACCCTCTGGAGCCAGGGAAGGGAAGGTGGAGGCCGCACTGGTGGGCCTGGCCATCGGCAGGGCTGTGCGACAGGAGCTGCGTGACACTGGCACAGAAACAGACCCAGGAGCCCAGAGGTGGGGCCATGTGTTTGGGACGGAGTGACTTTTCCAGCCCTGGGATTGGCCCCAGGGTCCCATGACCACCGAGCCACATCCCGGCCTTTTATGATGGTTTGGAGAGAGGGTCTTGCTACGACGCTCACATCTCGCTAAATTGCTGAGGCTGGCTTTGACCTCGGATGCTCCTGCCTCAGCCTGACCATTGATTGACTTTTGACCAAACTGGCAGGAACTCACAGTGGGCGAAGGACCACTTCATTAATGGTGCTGGGAAAGCTGGACACCCCACGCAGAAGAATGAGCCAAACCCCGAGGCTCCCCGCACAGATCTTCTCCACACACATCCCAGAGCCACCCAGAAGGGCTGGGCCAGCCGCAGGGGCTCCCCGGGGCTGAGGCAGGAGGACCTCAAGTCGAAGGCCAGACTGGCCACGCAGCAAACCCCGTCTCAAGGTACAGAATAAAGGGGGTGGGGCTGCGGTTCAGTGCAGACCCCCTGGATTCAGTGCCAAGTATCGAGGGCAAAGATCGGAAGTGCAGGACTCTTGGGTGAAGACGTTGGGAAACTGCGGGTCATGGATCTGGGTGGGGATGCCTTAGAGGTGAGCTCAGGGGCGCAGACGACAGGAAAACACACAGGCAGGGTGACATGAGAAGACATCAAGCAAGCTGAGGGCCACTCCCACACTCCCTGGGGGCCCAGTGGGCCTGGCCATCTAGCTGTGGTGGCTGCTGACACTGGGACAACGTGGGCTGAGGACGCCCCCTCACAGCAGGGCTCCAGTGCTCATGGCGTGGGATAGTCCCAACCCTCTCTGTGTACGTGTCCCTCCTGCACGGTGTAGACTGGGGGGTGCTGCCCTTCACCTGCATTTTCCAGGCTGCTGGACGATAGCACAGATGTTCCATCATTCTGTCTGAGGCTGTGATAGGCCACTTCCATCCACCACCTGGGCCAGGTGCACCTGCCCTCTCTCTGCCCGGGGTCATTGTGGCTGAGATTTGTAAATGTCCTCAGTGTCCTCAAGATCAGGGAGGTGAGTGGACTAGAAAGAGGGACCAATGGGATGCAGTGTGGAGGGGAGGGCAGGGGAAGGTGCTGGGATCCAAATAGAGAAATCTGTCACATACATTCATAAATATGCCCAAACAACCCCTGCTGGGTGACTGTCATGCACCATTAGAACACAAACTGTGGGTTTGCAGTAACCAATTTATCTTTTTTCTTTCTCTTTTTCCCCCTCAGTAGGACTTGCTGTAAGCTATGCCTTCACTTGGAATAATTTGTCCTACTCTCTCTATGTCACCATAGGGTCACTGAGGTCGCTGGTTAAAAGGCAACTTCTCATTCAACTGCTCATGGCTGTGAATGCCCTGAGTTCATGGTCATGGCTAAGCTCATGGCTGTGAATACCCTGGGTTCAGGGTCATGGCTGTGCTCATGGCTGTGAATGCCCTGGGTTCAGGGTCAGGGCTGTCCTCATGGCTGTGAATGTCCTGGGTTCAGGGTCATGGCTGTGCTCATGGCTGTGAATGCCCTGGGTTCAGGGTCATGGCTG